TATTGACAATGACATCCCAAATGTTTTAAAATGAATAAAAATTACATTTCTTCGGAAATGCTTTGATAATGTATTTATCATGTTTTTCTGGGAACAAATTTCGTAACATTTTTATTAAAAGAAGTACTTTGATTTTTATAAAGCATAAACAAAATCGGTCTTTTCTGGCCGTGAAAATGGGGATGTCACAGTCAGGTTCTGATGGATGAGGCTCACATGTCGAGATTATCCATCCATCCCAGGGCGACGAAGATGTATCGGAATATTTGCCCTGATTATTGGTGGCCCTGCATGAAGTGGGACATAGCATGGTATGTGGAGCGGTGATTGACTTGCAGAAAGTCAAGGCCGAACACCAGCGACCTCACGACAAGATGCAGCCGTTGGATATTCCCGTGTGGAAATGGGAAGATATCACTATGGAATTCATCACGAAGCTTCCCAGGACCGCACATGGAGTGGATTCGATTTGGTTCATCGTGGATCGGTTGATAAAGAGTGCTCATTTCATTCCGATCCAGGAGAGTATATCGGCTGAGAAGCTAGCCGAGATCTATGTGCGCGAGGTGGTGGCACGTCATGGAGTGCCGGTTTCAGTTGTGTCTGACCGAGATGTTCGTTTCACTTCCAGATTTTAGAAGTTGTTTCATGACTAGATGGGTACTCGTCTTCACTTCAGTACCGCTTTTCACCCTCATACGGATGGGCAGAGTGAGAGGACGATCTAGACTTTCGAGGATATGCTGCACACATGTTTGTACTTCCATTTTTTTCTTCACAGTGAAGATTGTTTTGTATTGGGTTGACATTTGTATAACTGGGTAGATTTTTGAAAGTACAATGCCATAACAGGAAATAATGAAAGAAAGCATGATGTTATAATTTATAAGAAAGAAATGAGTGAAAGTACATTGGTATTTACTGGATATGATACTAATGTTAATGTGTTTGGTAGGTGAAATATGCTCTTGGGGCTATGTATTATCTGTGTAATGCATCTACTAAAGAAGCTATCTTAAGACCCGAAGTGGTGGATGTCATTCAAAGATATGCAGTTGCTGGTGATGTTAGTGTTAGCTTCACCAATCTTGCTCAGGCTTTTTTAGATAAACATGTCACTAGAAACCCTTGAAAAATAACTTTTTTCTTTTTTTTTTCTTCAAATTTTTGGCTCTCATATTTTTATTAAAAAGCGATTATCAATTGTTATTTCATTTACAGTTATAAATTAATGTATTAAATAGCTTTTAGTTATAATTTAACAATATTTATTTGACTAACTTCTACATTATAAAACTAATTAAAAGCCAAAGTAGGATTTTGGTAAATTGGCATTTGAAAATAGTTGGGTTTATCGTGGGATTAATGTACCATATCATGTATTGAGTAACGTCATTAGTACGAACTCTAAAACTAAAAGTGTCGAAATCGAAACTTCAAAAAAAATATTAACAACTTTAATTTGGTTCAAAATCGTTAGAAATCTGAACTAGAAAAATGATAGACAAAACTGTAAATTTGGTCCCTGTGGTATTCAAAAAACTTTGGATAGGGTCCAAAAAGTTTTCAATTTGCATGGAAGGTCCAAAATCAAGGGTTTTCTGGGTTTTTGGTAAAAAAATAAACTTCAAAAGACGGTTATGCCCTTTTAATTTTTTTTTCCTTTTTCTATAAGTATTTTAATGCTATTTTGATTTAAAAGAAAAGAAAAAAAAGAATTTTCCACCCGCACCCCCACCGTACTCTCTCTCTCTCTCTGACTCTTTCTTTCTCATTTCATTGGTTACTCCACCGATTTCTGATGAACATACATACACATGAAAATCTCTATCTCAAAAGAAAACCTACAAAATCCATTCTACAATCGATTTATGTATTTGTGTATGTGTAGGTTTCTTTTTGGAAATTGTTTTATGTATGTTCATCCCTAAAGTTCATCGGATCCCCCATAAGATCCAAATCAAAAAGCTTTGTTTGCATCTTTCTGAAACTGAAATCGAAGCCAACACCCACCTTCCATCCCTCATATCCACTTCTCCTCTTACTCTGAACCGAAGGAGACTGAATCGATGTCATCATTAAAGCACTTCAAGTGGGAGTTTTCAAAGGATTTTGTTGTTGTTGCTGGTTGGTTCTTGAGAAATCGACGAGCTCTCTCAAGTAAGATTCGTACTCCTTTCTGGTTTCTCTAATAATTGACTGTATATGAAAATCGAAACCACTTATCACTTTAGATTTGGTAAATGGGTTTTTGTCAGTCAGCTTTGTTTTTCCGATCTGGGTTTTGTTGGAATTTTTTATTCGATGATCTGGAATATGGGGTTTGGATTTAGATATTGAACATTTTTGATTTGTTTTTTGTTTCAGTTTCGTTAACCAGATGTAATAACTGTTGTAATGGAGTTGATGCTGGAAGAAGATGAAGATGAGTTTCGAAGTTGTTGTGCAGATGAGGAGGAACTCATGTGGAAGAAACTACAAAACAAGGTTTAAAAAGCTGTAGCGATGATGATTTCTTGATGAAATTTTTGTACAAATGTTCTTCAAGGCTTCCTTGATTTCAAACCCTGATAACAATGGGTTCAATATCTCTGGAACTAGGGTTGTAATGGGGGGAGAGAGAGAGAGAGTTTATTTTTTATTTTTAATTATTTAAATACCAAAATAAATAAAGAAAATAGAAATGAAAAGGGCAAAATCGACTTTTCAAGTGTACCAGAGACCAAAAACTTAGAAAAACTTTGATTTCGGACCTTCCATGCAAGCTGGAAATTTTTTAGACTCTATCCAAAAATTTTGAATATCACAGGGACCAATCTTACAGTTTTGTCAAAATGATAAAGCGAGAGCATCCATATTACGCACAATTATCATAGAATCTAATTTTTTCGGCAAATTATTTTCAAAGTATTAAACAAATAAGTCATGCAAAAACTATATCAACTATATTAATTTTTTCGGCAAATTATTTTCAAAGTATTAAACAAATAAGTCATGTAAAAACTATATCAACTATATATCAATATGTAATGTCGGTGGCGACGTTACTTGTCTTTTTTTTTCCCCTAATCTTTACTCGACAACTTCAGCACTATTTTTTCGCTATTTTTTCATTATTATTATTATTATTATTATTAATTTTTTTAAACTTTGTAATATGTCATTTTCATTTCTTTATTTTTTAAACTAGTTTATAACCCGTGAGAACCACGGTTATAAAATTAATTAAACTTTTATAATAAAAACTCAAAATTATTAATCAATTATTTCAAATAAATTATTTTAAATAAATTATTATTAAAAGATATTTTTTAGTTATATAAAGTTATAATCATTGATTTAAATATATAGATGAAATTATATACATTATAATATATATTAATTTTATTTTATTTTTTATTCTAATGTTATTAATTTAATATAATTAGAGTGTGAAATTTAAAATTTTGAAATTTAAAATGAAGAATCAATTGTTAATTTAATGTAATTAAAATGGAAAATTAAAATTTAAAATTTGAAATGGAGAATTAATAGGTTGACATGTGACATGATAGATGACATATAATATTAATAAAGATTTTATTAATATTGTGACACTTATCAATAAAAAAATAAACTTATTCATTTATTAGAATAGAAAAATATGTATTTATCCCCGTAATATATATAATTTGATTTATTTTAATAACTTTTGTTTGTTAACTTTTTATAATAAGAAAATAATTTTTTACGATTTTTTGTTATGTATGTGTCGAATTGAAGGTGGTCAACATTTCAACGTAAATTGAGAACTTTCGTTATTTGCTTTTTTTTATGTACGTGTCGTGTCGGTATAAATTCAAATTTGTCTATGTTTCGACTAAATTGTTTTTTAAGTTCTTGTGTTCGCCGCTTGCTACGTATGAGTCGTGTTACATATAATACATTTTTTTATTATTATTTGAACTTTCGTTCGTTAGCTTAAAAAAATAATCTTACTTATTTTTGTGTACGTGTCCCTTCAACTCTGTCAAATGTCACTTTGACCATCTCGACTTTGAACTTTGTAAAATGTCAGTTTCATACCCTCGACTTTTTAATCTTTTGTGTTAATCCCATAAACCTATAGTGATATCGGTCTTTTTATATTTACCCAGCAACAAATGTAATGACACCTAAATTTTATTAATAAAATCATCAAAATTCAATTTACAAAACGTATTGATACTGCCGCAACGTGCGACGGGCAAAATACTAGTTCATTTTATTTTGTAACCTACTTTTGACTTATTGAGATTTTTACATAAATTTTGATTGTACTTTACTAACAATTAAATAACATAAAGTTAATAAACATTATAATACGATAAGAATTAATAATTATAATTTCTTACCAAGAAAATCATTCTTAAACTCTTAATTGGAATTTGCTACATGTCTTCCATTATCAGAATAAAATAAGAAGTAACATTTTTATTGATAAAATAAAATTAAATAAGGCTAACATGTGTACTCGCCATGAGTGTAGTGTTAAGGTGGTTGCTTGCAACGACGTGCACACCATCCGGGTGTGGTGTTGAGGCGGAGTCATGTTAGAGTGGAGAGGCATGGCCTCAGCCACATTGAACCATGTGAGAATTTCTCTTTTTCTTTACATCTTTCTTTGTTGTGGTGCTTCAATGATGAGGTGGCCGCGTTGTAACATTCCGTTTAAAATAAAATAAATAAATAAATAATAAACCCTAAGACCCCGATATGTATTTTATATTTTATTTTATTTAGTCCTAAACCCGTAATAATTTATCAGTGTGAACCATAAGGAGTTAAATGATATAATTTTCAGAATTTGGAGTCTATGTTGTAACATTAGGACTTGAAATGTAAAGAAATTCATGAAGCAAGGTTTGTTTGGGAATTTCTAGACTTGAATTGAAAAAGATGGATGAGGGAGGGACTGAAAGTGAAAATTCGGCAGAAGTTTGATTAGAGACGGGTTAAGACCCGTCACCCTCCCCTTGACCCTTCATTTGAACCGCAACCTCCAAACCCTAACCCTAAAACGACGTTGCAGCCGCTACCCTTATCAACCCTTACCTCCAGCCGCCGCTACCCCCTACTGTTGAGGTCGGAGACCGCCGAAGCCAACCACCGCTGCAGCTTCCGGCGGCCGACGAAGACGATCACCGCAAGCTGACGTCGTATCAGTCAGAGAGATCGGAAGACGAAGTCCAGGCTGTCGTCGCTGCTGTTCTCGGGTTAGAGGTCACACACCTTTTCTTCTACGTCTATTTTTTCTGTCACGTGTTGTTGCCATTGCACCGACTGCCACAAGCCACCATGAGGGTGGCTGAGTTCGTATGTGCGTATTTCATAGTTGGGCTCGTGTTTCGTGTGTGTGGGTCGCTGCTACAGTCGTGAGGTGTGCGTGGGTGCGTTTTTTCAGTTAATTAAACTAGCTGTATAAGACATTGGATATGAATTAACACTACATTCCGAACATGGTCTTAACATTAACGAATTTTAGTTAATTAAAAAAATATATAAATACAAGTAAAGGAAGAAGTACTTACATGTAAAACCCTCATAGAATCAAATGCCATTTTTTGTTTGCAAAATTTCTATTTCGGGTGGATTTTGTAGTACTTCAAATGTCATTCAGTCTAAAATCCGATGAAGAATGGGCTGGGCCAATAATACTCGACTCTAGTATGTTCCAGTCCACTTTGTTATTTTGCCCATTTTTTTTTTAATTAATTTTCTTAAAATAATTGAATTTTCAGGCTCTCTTTCTAAAGGGAATCACACAACCACATTGCCGGCTCCACCGACTGCCTCCGTCTGCTGTGCTTCTCTTCCATCTGTCGGGCCTCATTTCTCTGCTGCTGCTTCCTGCTTACAAACGGAAAGAGGTATTTCTATTCTGGTATTTGTGTGTTGCTTAACAATCGTACATTAATATGTGTTTCATATTTTCAATATTGTTGGTGCTTTTGTTTTTCTATTTCGTTAAATTCCCTAAATGTTAATTATTAGGATATGTTGAACATATCGATTTAGTTGTTGTTTAAAACCAATACATTAACCGATTTAATTGTTTATTGTTAATCGAAAAAGCTTTGTTTTTATTTTTCTATTTTTTTCATTCTGTTTTTGACGAGTTCTGGTAAACTCCATCGACTACCATATTGGATTGTTCTTCATTTTACTGCTATTTCAATTTCTTTGATGATTTACGCGGCTTCGACAACATCATTTGTTTATGAACAATTGAACACCAACTGTTCGATGAAATTCTCCAACGAAAGTATAAATCTTTACACACATTATTTTTATTCATTTTGCCTTTAAGTTTTGTTCTTTTAGTACTTCCCTCAACCAACAAGGTAAACCCTAGTTTCTTTTCTTCTAGTTGATTAATTTTGGAAAAATGTAAGAAAAAAATGTTTTCAGCTCTATCCAAAACCTTATCTTTTTACATGTTTAGCAGACTACTACATGTTCACTAATACTCAAAGACAAGAAGAACGTACTGGAAAATATGGTACTCCAAGGGTACAATACCTTCAGGTATGATTCATAAACCTATAATTATATTTCATTTTTTCTAATTTATTATCCTTATTCACAAAAGAAAAATAATTGGCCATGAAGAACCGATACTTCAGCATGATTCCTGTATCCTTATTTAGTGCAAATTATGTATATAATAATAGTTGTATTTAATTATTTATATCTTTTTTATGTTTGTAGGAACTTGTAGCTCAGTTTCAGAATGCATCTACTGAAGGTATGTTGTAGAGTTATTATACGCCTTTTTGTGACAATATTTTGTCTTTCATCAAGATTTATAGAAAAAGCACATGCAATTGTTTATCAATTTAACTATATTATTGATTTAACCAAACGGGACCCACATGGTGTGTATGAATCTTAATTTTGTTAACAATTTCTTCTTCTTTTTGATTCTTTGTAATTGCAGAGTCGAAGGAGAAAATCGTTGCTAATTTAGCAAACTTTGCATATGATCCCTACAATTATACATTTATGCGCCAGGTTAATTTTTTTTATTTTTTTTATTTACTTATTAGTTTATAATGCCAACTTCTTCTGTTTTACTTGACAACCATATTTGATCATAAACAGCTTAATGTTTTGGAACTTTTCTTGGACTGCATAACAGAGCCCAATGAGAAGCTAATAGAGTTTGGTGTTGGAGGGATCTGCAATTCGTGTGTTGGTATGTTATAATTAAGGAGGGCAAATTTGTAAAAAGTTAGGACTTAATAGTTAATACTAATCTACTTTTTTTTTTGTCAACAGATCCTGCAAATGCTGCAGTAATAATAAAATGTGATGGAATACCTCTTCTTGTACAATGCTTATCAAGTCCTGTTAAAAATACGGTAAGAATTGCAAACTAAATTGCAGCATTCTACTGTAATGTATTTCTATTATAACATTGTACTTTCAATTTTTTCTTTTTTATATATGAAGGCATTGTATTTTTTAAAAACCTATTTTATTGGATTTGATAGTAATGTTCATGTGTTTGGTAGGTGAATTATGCTATTGGGGCTTTGTATTATCTGTGTAATGCATCTACTAAAGAAGCTATGTTAAGACCTGAAGTGGTGGATGTGATTAAAAGATATGCAGCTGCTGATGGTGTTGGTGTTAGCTTCACCAATCTTGCTCAGGCCTTTTTAGATAAGCATGTCCCTGAAAACAGTTGAAAAATAACTAATTTTTGGGTCCCATTTATTTATTAAAAAACGAGTTTTGGCTAACTTTCTACATTATATTATAAAATAAATTCATAGAAATAGGATTATATGAATTTAACATGTTTCTTCTCCACTACACGTGTTTGAGATATGAGTTGGTAAACTTGCATTTGAAAATTCAATGGACCAAAACCGAAACTAGAATTTTGGCAAACTGACATTTGAAAATAACTGGGTTCATTGTGCGATTAATGTACCATATCATATGAGGAATTATGTATTGAGTATCATCATCATCAATTCATCATTTGGGAACCTTGTTGGAAAAAAATTAAATTAAATTGGGTCTTTGATAAATCCACAATAAATATGGAAAAGTGAATTAGATTTGAATGTGTGTTTTATAACTACAACTACACCTGACAATAAAACAGATTTGGAACGAATCGGTCTTGATCCAAACACTTTTAACAAATTTCACGAATCGGTCTTGATCCAAACATTTTTAACAAATTTCAAAGTCGAGATCCAAATCTTGATCCAAATATTTGTCCCATTATTCCGACCAATGTACAAGATTATAAGTTATTATGCATAGCACACAATACTATCCATAAAATGTAATATAAATCACTAACATGAATCACTAATGCTTAATATCCGATGTGTGAAGAATCATGTTTTACTTAATACTTAAAAGTAGAATATGAGCACTACAACCAAAAATGATATTTAACCCATCTTAAATCATCAAAAATAATAGAATTCCATTTAGTGGGACAATCTAATAGTCGATTATCGATTGATGAATTTATTTATTTATTTATAAATGACATCTTGGCAAGGAGACTGGAACGTTTCCTCATCTTCCCTTTGGATTATGAAATCATAACTATAAAGAAACAAAAATGGATGAGAAAATCAAAGAATGTGATACTTATA